GCATTGCTTTAAAGCTAAAACACTGCATGCCCGGGTCACAAGTCTTGTACCCTTTTTCTCTCTCTTCTTCTCCCCCCCTCCATCTCCTTTTGTTTTTCCTAGATTTAAAGATCAGCCAGCTCTGTTTGCTAGCTAGCCTATTTTTGGGGAAAAAAGGGTTGACGGGGAAGCAGGAAAAAGGAGCGCTTGGCCTGCATCCCCGTTAAAACCCAGGAGTGGACAGCCAGCTTTCCTCTGGCATCGCCTTTCAAAGCCCATGCCGCAGTCAGCATATTGAATATTTAATGTCCTGATGAGCATTTCCACCTGCTGACACAGGCAAAGTGACAGAACAATACACGCGCTGGAACAAGATCATCAATTGACTCCCCAGCCGGTCTGCCAGGTCAGGCAGTTAAAAAAAAAAAAGAAATATAAAATAATCTGTCTGTCTTTCTTCCCTGCTTTGCCCGGGGTCACACATTGCTCCTCTGAGAAGGGTTCCCACCTGAAATACATACTTCTTTACATTCCATAGCTTGCCAGGTTCATATGGGCATATAAAGAAGTATGTCTCTCAAGCAGGTAGTTTCAGTATGCGCATTTATATGGTCACAGGAGGAAAAATAACGCTGATTTACAATTTACATCCCGAGAGTGAGTTACGGCTCAGTTTAAACCAGCAGACTTTCCTCCTGCCCAGCCCATGTGCAGAGACACACACACCCCCCCCAGCTCCTGCTCCTTGCCGGTAATCCCGGGCTTTGCCCTCGGCAGGTGATGGATTTTGGTCCCTGGGAAGAGGAACTGGATAATTCACCGGACACAAAGCGGCAGCGGTCTGGTGGCTGCCCTGGCAGGGGCTCTTTGTCACGTAAACGGCACAGAGTAAAAGCCAGCCTCCCATCCACCTAAAAAGTAGGTGTTTCATTCAAAATCGTAAACTTTCAGCAATTAAAAAGACCAAAATGTGGTTTAGTGGAAGGGATTTCCTTTATATGCATATAGATATAATTTTAGACAAAGCCATGTGGAGGAAAGTTAAATACATATTATTTCCCAATTGCCTCCATCCTGCAATTTGGAAACAAAAAGCCAGTTTGTTTTCAGAAACCCAAAAATCAAACGGCCAGCTACTGCTTTACAAACCGACACCCGGAAGAACTGCTCCATTTGCCAGAGTAAGAAAACTCATCAGCTCCAGACAAGCAATTGCTTTCATCCGTAAGTAGAGATTAAAGCATAGGAAGAAGAAAGCATCTTACCTAGTGAATCCAATGATTTTTCCTCTGCTGGTCACTGTGAGTGAGACACTACCTCGCAGATAAGCAAACCCCAAAAGATAGCACACGCCTTTTGGGGAGTTCAGGGTAATTAAAAAAAAAAAAATTAAAAATTGCTTCTAATAAGTCATCCGGTTGAGCTCCACGCCAGCTAAGGGTTTTTGGGGAGACACCTGCAGATATGCAACACAAAAGGCAGCCAAAGCCAGGTGCCGGCAGCTCAGGCCAAAGTCTTTTTGAGTTATTCCCGCAACCCCCGCGGGATGCGCGCCCGTGCACACCGCCGCGCGCTTGTGCACCCATGGGGCTCAGCCCCGCGTGCAGCCGCTGGCTCTCCCCCTCTCCCTCGCCTCCTCGCAGCCGCGCTGAGCTTTAAAGCTCCCCGAACAATGTGGGCCGAGTGGCAGGGCTGCAAACACCGCCCGGGCTGAATAGGAGACTATTATGGGCAGGATTTAGGCAGGGAGCGACGGCGGAGGTCACGCCGGGCGCTGCCTGCTTGCTGCCTGCTCGCTCAGCAGGGCGGGCAGGGCACGCTCACCTGCGCTTGCTGCCCCTCGCCCCGCTGCTGCCGATCGATACCAATTTACAGGCAAATGCAGAATGGCTGCCTTCGTGTTAATGAATTTTACCATTTCTCACAGTCTTCTAATGAACCCTTTAAAGAGGGTTTAAGTAAACTTAGCAAGTGGCAAACTAAGCACTTTGGAATACCTAATTGCATCGATGCTTTTCCACAGCTTTTTAAAATAACACTGCCAGCTGGGGAGTAAATATTTCCCTGCTCCTCATCGACTTCTAGCACCACCGAAAAGCAAAGGCCGCACTGAGCCAGGGTGTAAATCCGCTGTGCTCAGGGCCCCAGCCCCCAAAATGGCTTTACACCCCTCATGCAACACCAACAAATGCCTCGGTCCTGGCTCTGTGCAGCTCCCCTCCTTGCTCCCCTAGGTTTGTTGGCCCTTTTAACCGTCATTATTTGTCTCATTTCAAGGCAAATTTCAACCTTTAGTTTGGATTAAGGGGAAGAGAGATGGAGCTGTGGCACCATTGTAATGCATGACTGCAGTGAAATTAAAGCAAAGGGAGAGCTGAGGAGTGTGAGGGAAAGTCTGAGTGCTTAAGACTCAAAAAAAACCCCAACAAAAATCAAAGTGCTGGCGGGGGGTTTTGCACAGCCAAGGCACTCCATGGTATTGAATTTCCTTCAGACTGACAACAGTAGGACAGCTACTGGACTTCTTGGGCCATTAAACATCTGCAACTCATACCCAATTTGCTTTCTTCAAATGCATTTGACATAGGCTGTCCTGAATGGTCCCCAGCTTCTGCAGATGAGTGGGACAGCGGCTGCCAGCCACTAAAGAGGGCACTATGTGAGAGCTAAAACCCCGACATTTTAAATCCTTACTAAAACTGAAGACAATGGCACAACCATGGCAGCAAAGTTCATCCAGGAGATTTAAATTTGCTTTGAGGCTCTGTGTGGAAGCTCACACTTTCCAGGGTTGTGCCTTTTGGTGGAGGAGCAGATAAACGGTGTGGCGGTGCTTTTAATGGTGACGCCAGAGGCACTTTGTGGTTCCCATCCTGCAGCTACCACCAGGAGTAAGTGGTGATGGGCGAGTGTCACCCAACGTCCTCGACCCACCTAGGCTCTCTGAGCTCCTGGGCTTGCTCTTAGCAGGAAAACGTGCGCAATAAAATTGTGGCTGTTCTGGGGAGAAAAATGGATGGAAAGCTGGATAGTGCAGAGGCCAAGGGGCAAATAAAAGGGAAGGGAAGAGCCTGAGATATTGCCTGGAGGCGGAGAGAGAAGGAGGATGGTGGGAGGGATGGAAAGCAACGTGCCGTGTACTATATCCCTCCTCTGCCCCAGGCTCACGGTGCTGCTCAGGTCCAGGTGGCAAAGTCGATCTGGAGCTGTGCTGCACAAAACTTTGGGGACTTGACTGGAGACAGCCCGTATTTAGGGCTGGGCACCGGAGAAGGGAGAGGCAAGCGGGGCCGAGGCAGAGGCAGGGCTCGCCCCAGCGCAGCCCACGGCAGAGGGGCTGGGCTGGGCACCGGGCTCAGTCCTTGCGCGACATAGACACAACCATCCGCTCGAGAGAAACCCAGCAATTAAACCGACAGCACAGATCACAGATTTCTGCCTATACAATTACACATGATTGCTGAGTGCACACTCTCTCCGGCACAGACATATACATATATCCATACTCTAAACACAGCCTGGAAATGCGTTGTACTTGGATGATATGTTACACCTGCTTATATATAGCATTTATATACCTGTGTATAAAGATGTGTAAAATATACATATGCATGCTATAAAAAGATACCTAAATTTGTGTGCGTGTGTGTATGTAGCACAGTATCCACCTCACAATACTGACGGCTATATATTTATGTGACTAGGTATCACCACTATCATATAAAATATAATGACCATAGTCAACTCTGAGCTGCAGAAGCAATAACAGTCAATTCATGTTTGAAGTGTAACCTGAATTCCAAACCCTTGCAGGGAAAACCTAACTTCTCCTCCTCCTGTTTCCTTCCTGCTTGTCCACAGACCATGCGCCTGTAATTAATGCTCATTTCTCGGCATTTTAACAGTTAATCACCGCAGCATTGAGATCATTGCAAGTTAGGCTAAGTTTAACCACATTTCACCCTTTTGCTCTGGCTGGTATTAGCTCATAGCACTAGTTTGTTGCAAATAAATAAATAAAGACCCAATCCCCCCAGGTGTCATTAGCCAGCCTGTGTCTGAATTAGGCATTTAAAGGCCGGTTTAACCTTGCAGATCGGTTGCATGTCAAAGTTCTAACATTTCAGTTCAGATTATTCTAGTGCACTGCTTGCTCTGCAGTTTGTTAGGTTTTTTTTTTTTTTTAAATGCGGAGTATGCCACAGCAGAACAAAAAAAAAAAAGGGGGGGGGCGGGGGAGGTCTAACCCATCCACAGATTAAACACATAACCAGCACATCCCCGCACAGACACGCACACGCGGCACACAGACACGTACATTTGCCGGATGCAAAAGCCCACATTTAAGTCCCCGGGTAAGTTGGATGGGCACTCGGTCCTGCATTGGCCAGAAAAAGTGTTTAAAAACAAGCTGAGCTGGTAGCGGTTAAAGGCAAGGCAGGGAGCAGAAGAGGGGAAGGGGGGGGGGAAAAAAAAAAAAAAGACATACCAGTTAGGAGCTTCTGTTGCAGCAGAGGACTCACCAGAGCACTAGCTGAAAGCTGAATCAGCTTTCGAGAGTTAGGGATGCATAGAGGAGGGTCATGGAATCACAAGGTAATAATGCGCTTCATGCTGCAGCCGTCAGCCTTCTCCTTATAGCCAATCTCTAATGCAGGAAGGGAAAAAGAGAGCAGGCCCAGGAACGGTATTAGTCCTCACTTGGAGGAAAAAAAAAAAAAAATTCAAAAAAAAAAAAATCATCAGGCAAACCCTCCCCTCCCCATCCACCCTTACCTCACCCCCTCCACCCGGCACCACTACAACTCCATCCCCGCTGCTGCATCGCGGCTCGGTGGGGCGGGGGGAGGAAGGCGGGAGGCAGCGCGGTACAGCGGGGGCTGAGCGGCGGAGCCTGAGCGGGCGGAGCGGGGCTCCGGGGAGCGGGGCTCCGGGGAGCGCTT